ATGCTTCAGTTTCAAGTGAGGGCTCTGCTGAAGGTGATGATCCCACTGACTTGCAGCATCATAGCCCCCTGACAACTGATTACAACAATGTGACTAGAACTGCAACCAGCAGCCGTTCTAGGTTAGTCTGTCTGTTTCTTGTTAACCAAGAGGCTTGCATTGAGGATTTATTATTGTAAAAACATGGTAGTATACTTTTACTTGTTATCTTCTGTCATTTGTTTACTAAAAACTTATCCCTTTCAAATTTTTTATTTTTTGTCTGAAGTTTGATGCTCAAGGACCAGTCCCCTGCAGGCATCCAATGTAACTCGAAAGAAGTAAACACAAAGGATATATCATTTGGTAATAGTAGCTCCCCGAAATCACCTAAAAGTAGACCTTTAGGAAATCATGTTCCAAATCTACAGATTCCACATCACGGTGCTTTCAGCAGTGCTCCTGACAGCTCAGTGTCAAGTCCTTCTAGGAGCCCAATGAGAGCTTTTGGCACAGAGCAAGCGAACCCTCTTGTTTGGGCAGGGAAAACTAACACTGATGTCACTTTACTTGGATCTGGCCATTGCTCCAGTCCTGGTTCAGGTCACAATTCTGGCCATAATTCAATGGGTGGAGATCTGTCAGGACAGCTATTCTGGCAACAAAGTAGGAGCAGCCCTGAGTATTCTCCAATACCAAGTCCCAGGTTGACCAGTGCTGGTCCCAGTTCCAGAGTACATAGTGGTGCGGTTACTCCTATTCATCCTAGATTGGCAGGAACGGCTACTGAGTCACATGCTAGCTGGCATGATGATGGGAAACAACAAAGCCATAGATTGCCCCTTCCTCCCATAACTATTTCTAATTCATCTCATTTCTCTCATTCAAATTCAGTAGCAACATCTCCCTCCATGCCACGTAGTCCGGCAAGGGTGGAGAATCTCATAAAGCCCGGATCACGGTGGAAAAAGGGAAAGCTTCTGGGTAGAGGCACATTTGGCCATGTTTATGTCGGTTTTAGCAGGTATGATACTCCAAAGAAATGACTTCATTTCTTACATCTTTTAGACTTAGAAATTAACATGTATCCATTGTTCATGCCTTATGCTAGTCTATATTGAGCTGTAAATATTCAGTGTTAATTTTACTCTATCAATTGCAGGTTCCTTTTGCATATTCGATTTTAAACAAGTTTGCATCCACCAATTTTGTTTTGTATTCCCTTTTGAAATATTCATCAGTAATTCAGTTTGTTTTCTATCTCTTTCAGTGAAAGTGGTGAAATGTGTGCAATGAAGGAGGTTACATTATTTTTAGATGATGCCAAGTCAAAAGAAAGCACTAAGCAGTTAATGCAGGTAAACTGCTTTTCCTTCCATATTAGTTTTTGTTTTCCGGTTGATGCCAAAAGAAATAATATGTTTCTTGACTCCTCATTATGCTTTAATTTGGTTATAGGTATGGTAGAAATTCATATTCTTATTGCTCTAACAGGAAATTGCTTTATTGAGCTGTTTACGGCATCCAAACATTGTGCAATACTATGGGTCCGAAAAGGTGTGTCCTATGTATGACATTCTGTTCATTGGTCTTGACATCTTGTATTGCTACGGTTATTTAAAACATTTACAGACCTAAAGGGTTCTGGTTTCTATCTAAAAGAGTTTCTATTTATATGTTGAGAAATAGTGAACCATATCTAGTAGTCAAGTATGGTTATTTTAAAATTGTTGTTGAACATAGTTAAAAGTTTCATTGACGAAAGGATTCTATCCGGAAGCATTGCTCTTTAATATTGAGAAATGGTGAATCATATAATGCTAAGAAACTTTTGGGAACTATATTTATGGTTACTTAAACTACCCAACTAAAGTTTACTATAACATATAAGCATTTTTTCAGGAAAAATGGCTAAGGCAAGGATTATTATGATTCACTTACAGACCTTCGGGAAATTTTTTTACAGGTAGATGACAGGCTTTACATATACCTTGAGTATGTATCTGGTGGGTCAATTTATAAACTTCTCCAGGAGTATGGGCAACTTGGTGAGCCAGCAATTCGAAGTTATACTCAACAGATCTTGTCTGGCCTTGCATACCTACATTCAAAGTCTACTGTCCACAGGTAAGTCAGTTAGGTATCTAACATTTTTTAATTATAGCTTCGCGGGAAGCTGTCTGTTGATTTTTCCTCAGAAAAATATCATTCACCATCCTGTTCTCTATTTCTTGGGCAGAGATATTAAAGGAGCAAACATACTGGTAGATCCTAATGGTCGTGGCGTTAAGTTGGCAGATTTTGGGATGGCAAAGCATGTAAGTGCAGGCTTAATCATTTTTTTATTTTAAATGAACTTAATCTGATTAAACTTGAGGTAGCCCAACTCCATGGTTGTGGAAATTATATTGTGACTCATTTATGCTGCGTTATTATTCAATGATTAGGCTTTCTTCTTCAAGGTGATTTCCTACTTTCAAAACACATGCTTTGCAGATTGCAGGGCAGTCATGTCCACTTTCGTTTAAAGGAAGCCCTTATTGGATGGCACCTGAGGTCAGACTTAATTTTGTCTTTGGTTTTAATGGTTACTTCAAGTTCTCGTCCATCACGTGGGGGGGGGGGGGAAACCATCGTTTATCTGGTTTTTAGCTTTCATCTGTGAAACCTTCCCCAGGTTATAAGGAACTCAAGTGGGTGCAACCTTGCTGTGGATATATGGAGTCTTGGATGCACTGTTTTGGAAATGGCTACAACAAAACCTCCTTGGAGTCAATATGAAGGGGTTAGTTGTAAAAATAGCAAGGATAGAATACTTGAAATTTTAGCGCTGTTTAGTTGCCTTTCATAATATTTCTTTTCTGCGTATAAAAATAAATTTTCAAGCATATTATCTAATTAAAGTTTTTATTTTGATTTGTATGATTTTTGCTTGTCAGGTTGCTGCTATGTTCAAGATTGGAAATAGCAAGGAGCTTCCAACCATTCCAGATTACCTCTCAGATGAAGGAAAAGATTTTGTGCGGCAGTGTTTGCAACGTAACCCACTACATCGTCCTACAGCGGCTCAGCTTTTAGATCACCCATTTGTAAAATATGCTGCTCCTTTGGAAAGGTCTACTCCAGATCCCGAGCCTTCAGATCCTGCCCCTGGTGTTACAAACGTGGTGAAAGCTCTGGTAGTTTTCTCATACTGCTTTACCTAATTTGTAATTAGGTTGCAACTGTGCTCTATATCATTTTGCTTATTACCTTAGAAAGGTTCATTTTGGCTACAGCCAATGAATCGGTTTCTATATAAATATTAGCTGGGTCAATCATCCCTGTGCTAATGTCTATGTTTAAATGCTGCTGCTGTGGAGGCTTCATTATTTAACTCGAGTAATTTATTCTGAAATCGTTGCCATGTGATAAGCTACCGGGTTGTAATACGGACCATTAATATGAAACCATGCAGGGGGGATGCTGAAAATTGTCATATGCTCTGAACAAACATCATCCTGCCTTTAGATATGCCTGATTGCGGTTCTGTGATGCCCTCTATGTCTTAGTCATGTTGTAACTTAATGCTTGACTTTTGGCACTTGGCAGATACCAGTTTACCTATTGCTTACTTTCTCATTTGAATTTATATTTCAGCTTTGTCTAGATGAAGACTTTTTCATTGTTATGCCTGTTTGTGTTTGTGGCCTGACTTTCTTACACGTTTAATTTGTGAACTTTCACAAGTTACCTATTGTTATTGTTTTTGCTGGCTCATTGACTTCACAGGGCTTTGGCCAAGCAAGGAATTATTCCCCCTTGGAGTCAGAGCAACATGCTGTTCATTCGTCTAGAGTTTCACCCATAGGAAGCCCTCTTTTGCATTCAAGATCGCCACATTGGAGTGGAAGAATGTCTCCTCCTCCCATATCTAGCCCGCAGATCACTTCGGGCTCATCTACACCTTTGACGGGTGGCACTGGTGCTATTCCTTTCGGTTATCTGAAACAATCAACTAACTTGCAAGAGGGTCTTGGAAGCATGCCAAAGCCCCCAAAAGGTCTTTATGTCAGTGGCTCCTCTTATAACAACACCAATCCCGACATTTTTCGTGGATTGCAACTAGGGTCTAATATATTTTCTGAGATACTGCCATCAGAAAATGATGCTATAGGAATTGGAAGATCGGTTCATGGGGAACCTTATGATGGACATTCTGTATTGGCTGGTCGTGTTTCTTGACAGCTTCTGAAGGATCATATGCTATGATGAAGCCATCACTAAATCCTAGTCCCAGCTCCCCTTCACCCAACCAAGCCAGTGTTATTATGTAATTGTCATTCTGCTTATAAAAATGAATTTATATTTTATAAAAAAAAATAAATATATTCTAGGTTTACTGATCAGAATGTCCTTTATCCCAGTTTCTTTTTCTATAAGCAGAATGGCAATTACAACGAATGAAATCTAGAATATATTTATTTTTTATAAAAATATAAATTCATTTTATTCAATTCAAATTTGTTAAATATTTTAATAAAATATCTAAATTCATAAAAATTATATTTAATGTCTAAAAGAAGTCTACCAAGTTTAATTCTATTGACATTCTCGTTGGTCAATTACCGAGGAAAATGTGAGATTGAACATACTTAAATATTAATATCTTTTAATTTATAGATGAGATGGATCTAAATATCATAGATATTGCATCAATAACTATATGTAAAAAAAAAAGTGCATGCTTAGCTGTTAAAATCATCTTATTTACCGGAGAAAATAGGTATGATAAACATTATAGAAAATTTTTAACTATGCAAACAAATTAGAGTTGAAAAAGCTTGTCTTTCAACTTTTCTTAATTTTATTTTACTTTTTAATGTTTTTAAAAACGTGTAATATTATGCTACGTAACCTACTATAGTAGTACTATATTAAAATGACACAAAATCTAAATTCAGGAATTAATGTGAAAAATATAGAGACCAAGTTGGAGGAAAAAAAATATGAAGTTCAGCTTTTCTGGAAAGAAGAAAATTGTAAAATGTCTGCAGGGAACAGAAGCAAGAAAACCTAAGACTGAAACTCCACTTCTGACCCCGCAAAAAAAGGAACTTTGTAATAGCAATAAATCCAATTTATTAGAGCCAAAATTTGGACATTTATGTAATTAGTAGAACCAGAGAAGACTAGTCAAATTGCTATACCACCTTAAGGGGGGGGGGGGGAAAGATGACTGAATGATAAGCATTTTCCAACAGAAGACCACTTTTAAAACTGGAACCTCTGCTAAGAATATAACCATGATTCGCTAAACTGTGCATACCTCAATAAAAGAACAACAAAAAAATTTCCCATCTCACCTCTTAGGTGGCAGATCTTTGTTTCGGAATGTACTTCGCACCCTTTTCAGGCTTCCTTCTGAACTTGCCGTGGGCAGGTCCGGTAGTTGAAGCCTCGGAAGCCCTTGTCTTAACAATCAACTTTTCTAATGAATCGTTTTCGATATTAGAGCACCCTGGGGGATCAAGGTTTGGGGAGAGAACCAATGTCACATGTTCGCCTACAATAGCTTCCTTCCACCCTGCAAAGCTCATCAGATTGTTTACGAATTACGAGAGAGACGAGATATTTCGGTGACAACAGATCTGTGGTGATAGTGCTCAATAGATAAAATATCAAACATCACAACTTACTCTGAGCAAGAATGGCTTTGGCAGTATTGCTGTTGAACTGCAAGCTACCAGGTTGCACAAGCGTTGAAGAGAGCTTCCCACACCATCACCACCATCTGTCGAAGACGACCTTGATCAGCTTTCATTGGAAGTGGTATGTACTACATTCTTTTCAGCAGCCACTTCCACTTCAAATTCACTAACACCATTTTGGACTGGTTGCAAATTTTTGCTTTCATGTCGGCTCACTGGCCTCCAAAACTTGATGGTTGATCGGTTTGAAACACCCTGAACAGGATCAAGTTTGCTGAACTTCTCCTGAACATTGTTCTTTGGGATTTGACACTCAGCCATCCTGTCACGGGCTTCAGCTGTATTGTGTCCATCGTGACTGCTATAATTTTGAATCGTGACGGATATAGAGCCAATTAAAAGCCCATGAATCTTATTTTGATTTACTTGATTAGCTGCTTGTTTCTCTTCTCTAATTGTCAAGCTCTCCCCTTCCTTTACTGCTTTAGGTTTTTGGCTCCAAATTTTATTACCGTTACCTATTGCACCAAACCTTTCCCTGTTTGTTCCATGTCTATTAACGCCTCCACACTTAAATCCATGAGAACTCTGACTGGCATGGAAACCATTAAGCACCCCCCGTTGTGAAGTATGTGGATTCTGCCATCGAGCAACAACTATCTGCCGATGCCCTCCAACTTGCTCCATTCGTCTTTCAACATTATGACTAGTTCCTGGATCCTCTTCCAGCTTGGAAAAATCAGTGGGCTCTACAGATGGGAGAATTTGATCTGTGGATATGGCAGGATTTTGTCCATCAGAATCAACAGCTGAAGGACTAGATGTTTCAGCGGGAGTGTTATCCTCCGATGAGTCATCCATGGTCTGCTTACTTTCTTCCAAATCCGAGTGTCTTTGTTCCTTTGCTTTCTGCTCCTTCTGCCTACGCTTCTTCTGTCTCTTTCTCTCAAGAAGCTCAACTTGCCTACAGTGGAGGACAGGAAATAAATCAACTATTAAAAGTTTATTCAATTTCACCTTCTGTAAGATGTTCAAGAATAGTATCCGAAGAAGCCACATGCAGGTCAATAGTCAATAAACCTAACCTTAGGTGTTAGGACCTACCCTTTATCGCTGCCTAACTGTTTCACGTGATGAGGTTGTATCTAGGAACTAAAAGGCATAAGTTAAGACTGAACTTTAGAATACTAGAATTGACATGAAAAATGCCAACAGTCTTCCTTGTCCAGTGAATTTATCCTTAAAGATGTTGATTGTTGAGATGGAAAAACAATTTCTGCAATTTTAAATTTATTACCCAGCTGGTGACATTTCATTTCAAGAAATACAAAAACATTTCTTATCAACATCTTCACTTTCCCCCTCTTTTGTGTTACATCTTCTGTAAGCAAATTATTAACTATACCACATAGTGGGGTTTTAACACTCGAGGAAAAGAAGAAATTACTCAAAATGCTTTTCTGATCTTTTTCCTCCTAGACATAAATACTCAAAGAAGATTCATAGGAAAATAGAGAAAGATAGGAATTTAAATTGGCCAACCTTTTTGAACAAGTCAAATATCATAGTTTTCCCCCTTTTTTCTTAAAACAAACTGTTAAGACATGGAAAATGAGTGATATGCACCTCTTCTGGGCAGCTTCTTCCTCTTCCACCAACAACTTCTGGCACCTCAAAGCTTCAGCATCTTTATCTGCAAGCCATGCTTTAATCTGAAAATAAACACAGTTTATTTTTATAAGAAAATAATAAACGGAAGAATATAAAAATGTGACAAGTTCATGTTCTTATCCAACAGTTCTTCTTTACCACCAAATTATGCATGAAAACTTTGAAGTAAAACAACCTAGAAAGAACAGAACAAAAAAAGGTACCAATTTCTGTTCCACCAAAAAGCTGGTAAAAGCAACCAAGTTTTTGGTTTCAAGACCAATCTTTCCTGCTTCCCCATCAAAAATGTATTTTTGCATTGACATGGCAGCACCCCAAAGGAAAGTCTTTTCACTTGCATCATCAAGGATACTAAATAATTCGTGTGAAGATATTGGAAATATTGAAGGTCTAGCTAGCACGAGATCCTGAAAAGAAATAGGGCATATGAAATTCACAAGAAAAGAAAGTATTAACATCTTTCAGATCTAAACAGAACATTTAATGAACAAGAAAATACATCCCTTACCAGAAGAGCAGAACCCGCTCTCAAGCAAACTTGTGGCAAAGCAGAAAGGGAGATCTTTACATGTGTAGTCAATGATTTTATAACTGAAGATCCCGGAACTCCCTGGAAAGTGTAGTTAGCAAGTAAGAAATTGTTTACGAGGCAGACACAAGAACAAACAAAAACAATAATCCATGAAACATGGACATGTTTATACTGGTGAGAAATAACCATTTTTTTATAAGAAATGGAGGCCTCGTTAAAAACCCCTTCATAGTTTCTAGAACACCATAGGATATTCCAGTAAACAGCGGAAGGAGGAAAAAAACGCCTCAAATTTTATTAATTAAAAGAACAATACAAAGCATAAGAGTACAACCAAACTTTTAACCCAGTACAGTAAACATAAAACAAAAGACAAGAAAAAACAAAACCCAACCAAAACTCCCTATCTTAACCTATTTATGCCTAAGCTAAAAAGTTTTCCTCTAAGTTTGCTGGCCTAGCTATCCAACGTAGAATACCCTCCAAGTTTATGATCTTATCCGCAATTTCTTTAGAAATTGAAACATACATACTTGGGCATTTATCCCAGTTCTTAATCCACTCCACTCACAACTTGCTATCGCTCTCAATAATCAGCTGCCCCTTAGAGCACCAGCTAGAAGATTCAAAAAAAAATTAAACCATATTTAATGGCCTTCAATTCCATTAAAGGTGGAGGACCCAAACCAACATCTTCTTGAAAGGATCCTAGCACTGTGCCGGAGCTATCTCTTAGAATCCCACCTATACCACTTGCCTTCCAATCACCTTTGACAGCAGCACCCACATTCAATTTTAGAAACTCCACAGGGGGAGGGGACCAGGAAATCTGATTTGCTAGCTGACTTTTTGAGACAAAGCACAAGTCTCCAAGAGAGGGGTCACCAATGAGGGAATCCATTGAAATAGGAATATTAGTGAATTTTGCTAGGAACCAAACTGCTAATCTGAACCTTGCTGTGAAAAACAACTGAACCAGATCGAACACGCCCTTCTTGAAAACAATGGCATTCCTACATTTCCAAATCATCCATGTAACTACACCAGGAATAAATATCCAAATAGTTGAATGAGGCACAACTCCTCCCAAGCTGAAAGAAAGCAGTACGCATTTTCATGTATAACAGCTGAAGTCTTCCACAAATGCATAAACCTATTCCACAAACTCGTGCAAGAGAAGAATAAATGCGAAGAGGTCTCTATTTCCAGCTTGCATAGAGGGCACAGTGGATCCAATATCCCAAGAACACCTCTCTTTATTAGTTCAGCCCTTACAACCAATTTTTGATGAATTACTTGCCACATGAAAGTCTCCACCCTTGGAGGCACCAAACTCTTCCAAAGATAACTTTTCAAATATGATTTGGATCTGACTCGATGGAGCAAGTTTTTATACAAGATCTAACTCAGTAAACACCGTCCCCATTTCCTCTCCAAATTAGACCATCTATCAAATTTTTCACAAGACTTATATTATTAATTGTTACCAACAATTCGACCCACTGATCTAACTCCCAATCCCTCAAATTCCTTCTCATCTCTACAAGCCAAAACCAACATGAAGCTCCAAATTCACCAAACTCCAGTAACCTTCCATTTTGATTAGTAGAGAGGGCAAGTAGCTTAGGGAAAATTTCTTTGAGGGGGCTTTCCATAACCCAAATGTCATGCCAAAAACGAATATTCTCGCCATTTCCCACCCTGATTTGAAAATGGTTGCAAAATCTGGAGCCAAAATAATCATTTTTAAAATTATTATTCACAATAGATCTCCAAATCCAGGAAGCCTGAGCTGGTATTTGATTATTGAGTAGCAACGAACTTTTATCTAAATTGTATTTACTGCAAATCAGCTTCCTCCACTCAGAGTCCTTTTAATTTGCAAACTTCCAAGACCATTTCCCTAAAAGGACTCTATTCATTAAATTGAGATTCATCACTCCTAGACCTCCATTGACTTTAGTTTTGCATACAATCATCCAATTTACCCAATGTATCTTATTCCTTTCTGATCCTCCCCCATAAGAATCTTGCCATTATGGAATTAAGCTTCTTGTTCACACTTGATGGGATCTTAAAAATTGATAAGAAATAAGTTGAGGGAGAACATAAAACAACTTTTAGCAAAACCAGTTTTCCAGCCAAAGAGAGAGATGTTGCCTTCCAACCAACAAGTTTACTGTAAAATTTCTAAATGACATGTTCCCAAAAATTTGTTGAATTTCTCTTAGCTCCAAGCGGAAGACCAAGGTAATCAGACGGAAAGGTACCAACTGCACAACTGATAGAAGACTCCCAATCTTTCACCTCTTCTTCGCTTGTATTAATATTGAATAATATTCTTTTGGAGAAGTTCAACTGAAGACCAGACATAATTTTGAAAACACGTAATACTTTCTTCACATTTCTAATCTGAGTCTTCGAACCATTGTAGAAAACTATGAGATCATATGCAAATTGTAGATGCAACAATTTAAAGGATCCCTCATTCCTGCTAATATTCTAACCACAAAACAACCCAATAGAAATTATCTTCAACATCAATAAATTAAGGAGTTCCCCAATCAAATTAAAGAGTCATGGAGAGAGAGCAGCCTTGTTGTCCTGTTGTCTATGCCTCCATTGTTAGGGAGGTAGCTGTTAAACTCAAAGAAGTCGAGGGAGTTATTATATGGGTGGCTAGGACAACCAATATTGAGGCTGATGGGTTGGCTAAGTCTGGTATTGGTTAATTTTTCTTTATTGTTGGGATATCTTATTTTGGGTTTTTAGGTTATTTGTAAGGGTTTTATCTTATTATTGTATCTTATGTATCTTTATTAATAAAGTTTAAGGCACTCTTTTCCTCCTTCCTCCGATTTAGGAATTCAATATGAGTTCCTTAAATCATGAAGGGGTTTTTTAATGAGGCCTCAATTCCTATAAAAAAAAAGAGAGAGCAGCCTTGTCTAAGTCCCTTAGCCATTGGAAATTCCTTAGTAGGGACACCATTTACCAAAATCGAGACAGAAGCCGAAGAAACACACTTACTCATCTAACTACGCCATCTCTCCCTAAAACCCATTTTCTCCATAACTTCAAGAAAAATTGGCCAATCCACTGTGTCATAAGCCTTCCTAAAATCCACCTTGAACACAAGTCCCTTAAGTCCTTTTTTCCTCCAATAATCTATCCTTTCATTGGCAATGAAAGAGCAATCCAGAATTTGACGACTTTGAATGAAAGCGAATTGGGAGGGACTGATTCTATCGCTAATACAAATTCTTAACCTTCTTGAGAGACACTTCGAGAGTATCTTATACATTCCTCCAACCAAGCTGATGGGTCTATAGTCATCTAGACTTTCTAGATTATATCTCTTCGGGATGAGTAATGAAAGTACGGTTGATTCCACGCTCCCAAGCTTTTTCCAAGAAAAAATTCTTAAAGAATTTCATTATGTCTTATTTATGGAATGACCAAAACTTTTTAAAAAACCCCATATTCAAACTATTTGGCCCTAGAGCTTTGTTGCTATCACAAGATTTAATAGCCTCCCATATTTCTTCCTCCGAGAATTCCTTTTACAACAGTAGGCTTTGTTCCATGGTAATTTTGGCGAAATTCAACTCCATATCTTCTACTTCCAAAATCGATCTAGAATTATAAATCTAAAAAACAAGATCTCGAACAATTGCCTTTGTGAGTGAAGGTTCTTGAATGAGATTACCCTTTACCCTCAGAGCAACCATAGAATTCATTATCTTTCTATTAGATGCACATATATGGAAGAATCTAGAATTTTAATCTCCTTCTTTCACCCATTTAGATCTAGATTTTTAGTACCAAATTCTCAACTCAATTTTGTACAGTCTCCATAATTCCTTCCTCAGTTCAACCAATAAAGTGACTATACCAGACGATTCAGGATTCTGTTGTAATTCTCGTTCCAGATTGTGTATTTTCCCATCTACAGCAAAAATTGAATTAGTCGGTTGCATATTTCTATTTCCAGACCAATCTTTTATGGCTACTTTAGTGCTTCTCAAGATGCTTAAAATTCTTGCTCTTTTCTTTTTTTTCTTTTATGATCTATGATTGTCAATTGCACCATCTCTTCAAAACCCTCCTCCTCCATTAAGTAATTAAAAAGTTTAAAAGGTCTCTTACCCCAATTGACACCACCATTCTCAAGTAAAACATCGTTGTGGTCTGAGATTGATTTTGGGAGATGATACTGAGTGATATATGGGAAAAAAGTCATAAAATTTACATCCACTAGGAACCTGTCAAGCCTTACAAAAGTTGGGATCTCCCAGTTATTACACCATGTGAAATTTACCCTAATTAGAGGAAGGTCTATAAGGCCTAATTGATGAATAAAGGACCTAAAAAGCTCCATCGAATTCCAATTTTGAGATCTGCCTTTTTTCTCTTCTTGAGATAAGTACACACTGAAATCACCACCCACACATAAAGGAACCTTTTGTTTACAAATTGTTCTTTGACTTCAAAAATACTTTCATCCCAACAACTCAACAACCCTCCTGCCGATCCTTCAGCTAGAGAAAACACGTAACCCTGTAGATTCTTTCCCCCAATTCTTCTTAAGATAGATTGCGATAAAATGCCAACCTTGATTTCTTGTAAAAGGAGAAAGGACAAATTCTTCTTAGATAACAAGCTCTGTACTGCACGTTGTTTCTTTTTCTTCCTAGGCCCCTTATATTCCAAGTGATGATGTATAATTTTGGCATGATGAAAAATAACAAGAAAACCCTACTAAAAGACACCAGGGGATTATCTTTCCCTAACTCCTCCCGATCTTTTCTCAAGGCTGATTATTTTCTCCAGAAAAACCTTTTTCCCATCCTTAAAAGAGATTCCCAACAACTTACTAATTTCCTATGTAGCCAAGGCTTCCTCCAAGTACACGGAGAAGGAAGAGGAAGAAACAGTAGAAGTACTGACCTGGTCTAGCACATCCCTTATCAACATTCTTCTATTTCTTCTAGTATCTTTCCCACGGACTTTAACAATTCAATCATCTCCCGAGGGTCTCCCTTCAAAAGGAATGATTTGAATTTGATTCTCTGTTGAAACTTGAAGATTAATATCACCGTCTTTGCTAATATCAATTCCATCTCCCAAATCTGCCAAAGAGTTGTTCTGACCCATACTCGCACCATCTACCTTATCCTCGTGTTCTAAGTGATCCACGTTTTCTATCACAAGAGCACCAGCTGTCTGAAAAAGACCATTTGTCTCTTCCAACGGGTTGATATAATCACCCACATTAATATCCCCTCCCAACAACTGTTCCTTAGAAGTTGCCCCAATCTGTCCTCTATGAAATAAATTAATCGCAACCTCAACCCCTTCATTCTTCAGGCCCCTCGTCTCACTATCGTGGGTCACATGTACCACTGGGCCCAAAAGATTGTTAACAACCAAATCGGATTCCTCCACCGCTTGAACAGATTTGCCTCCTTTCTCCGATCAAATTCAAATCCTTCTCTCTCTCGATCTGATGTACACTCTATTAAAAAACCTTCTCTCCCTTCTACCATCCGAGGCGCTCCTTATAGATAATCAATTGGAAAAAGAGGGCGACGATCTCCTCTGAAGAAGGTCCCTTGAACGTGTCTCTTGGTTACCTTCGGCTCACCCCACAATCTTTGTCAGACGATAACCTATTGGAGTTGCTAATGACTCCATCTCCACTCTTAAAATCAATCATTCTGCTCTCACCCTCAACTATTCTTTCTTTTATCGGCTCCACAATAGATTGTCCCAATTCTCCATTTCTTTCCCCAAAACAGGATTGGCAATGTTAACAACTGGCCTAGAAAGATAAATCCTCTTAATAGGGGAAATAGGTTCATTACCATCCTTTGATTGGGCCTGCCCACCCGAGAGTTGACTACCAAAATCTCTCAAGCCCAACCCCGTATACTCTCTATTAAACACTCTCCTAGTACCGAGGGGTTCTGTCTCCTTATCATAAACGACTTCCATCTCTTTTGTCTACTGCAATGATTGCTGATTCAAAGCTCCATTTGGATTGCCATATGTCCTCCCTCAAGCCACGAAGTAACTCGATTCAAAGGCTCTTCCAGCGACTATTCAATACCCTCTTCAAACCACTACAGCCGATCGTCGTCTTGGTCCTCCGGCGACACCTCTTCCTTCCAAACATCCTCAGACCTGATTAGATCCAAATTTACCTCTGGTTTCACTGAAGATGATCCAATCTTTACCCCAATCTTATACGACCTCCCATCTGCAAGAACAGTAACCAAACTTGGAACATCAAAAGGACTAACAACTCTCAATATCATCTTTGCAACAGACAAATCCTTTCTCCTCAAGGTCTCGTCATGAATGCCAACCAATAAACCCCACCGACTCTCCAGAGTTGTGAAGAAGGTTTCATGCCAACAGTTTAAAGGAACTCCACTTAGCTCAACAGAGCAATACACCATTGGAACACCAATCTCCATCATCAACCGATCAATCCATTCAAACCAATAAGACAATTCTTCTTTCTTATTCCGCCACGCCTCCTTCAAGCTCTCCTTCGAGGAGAAAATTATTATGCAAGAGTTCCACGCATAGCCCTATCTAATTATTTTGACAACTATTCTGTCACTGAACAAAGCTTTCTGAACCACATCCAACTCTAAATCTGCCTTCATAATTCCAGTTAAAGCAAACCTTATCCATTCATTCTCTTTAGCCTGTATGAATACATTCACCAGCTTTTCCCTCCCAACATTAACTTTTTGATTTGCCAATGCTTCTTTATATGACATTCAATCGTTAAACTCGTTGAAAAACTCCCTTTTGTTGTCGGCATTCCTAATCTACACATTCAAGTTATTCCTTGACCTTTCAACTGCCAACCCACGACTTGCTCTAGAATCCTTCTTTTTCGCGAACTTTGCTACACCAACTAAAACCCTTTTCTGATCGATCATCGTATTGTTAACCTTCGATATGGCATTTGACATGTCTTTTTGGCAACCAAAATGAACAAAGGCGAAAGTAGAATCCTTGTACTTCGGCCTTCTATTTACTAAAGGAATGAAAACCTTCACAACATCACCATGACGCTTGAATAGTTCCCAAATAGCTCTTCTATAAACCCTTATGCTGAGATTATCGACGAAAACCACCCATTTAGAACCACTAGAAATTGCAAAGACTGACTTTTTGCTCCAGTGGGGAGTGAAGCGACTCTAGACATTTTAGTAAATATGCTTAAGATATTACAAATGTTCGTGAGAAATAACAATTTGGACACAAGGTAATGTTAACAAGTTATATATCTATGGTGTGTAAACCAGATCCGGATGTCACTTGAAAATTTCTAAAAGATGTATCCATAATTAAACAAGTGAGAAAAATTAAATAATGACCTCTAGTAACACATCTTTGAATGATAAGATTTCTTTCGCCTCATCCTCTGAGAGCTGGAAATAATATAAATGAGGAATGACAGAAAAAAAAAAGGTGAAAACCTAAAATGTATAGAAAAAGACAAAGGGGGGGAGAGATATACCTTGTCCCAAAATGTTGCTAATAGATCCCTATTTTTAGAAGAATCCTGCAGTATATAAAACAATATCTTTTAGAGGAGCCCTACGAGATGATAAAAATAGATTAGGAAAGAGAAATCTTAATTTTCCAAGAGGCTAGGATCGTGAAGCAGCAGAAGAAAAAAATGCGGGAGAAACTCTAAAAAAATGAACTTAATAGATTAATCATGGTTCAAAGTACATGAAAACCTTATCAAGTTTCTTCAACCTATGATGCACACGTATATGCCTTCTATAGTTAATGGGTGAACAAAATTCTTGCGAACACTTATCACACTTTTGTGTCTGCATCTTCAGAGGAGTGAGTAACGGCCAGCCAGGGATATCTGTAATAGATACAAGCAAGAAAATCAAGAAATAATTTATTTTCCAGGACAATGATTTAAGCCATCAAATAATTTAGAAGTACCTCGTTGATCTATGGCATGAAGCAATTGAATCCATTGAACTGGGTTGTCCCCAACCCTTGAGAAGGGAATGAAAGATTCTTTTCCAATGGCATGTCTGATGAAGGTGTCCAAAGAATCATTTGGATCCTCTGATTTCATTACATTTGCAGAATTGGCTGCTTTTGCAACTGGCATTTATGCATGCAAATAGAGCGCAACTACTACTAACTCAGAGGTGCCACTGCAACTAAAAGGGGAGAAAGACAAATTAAGATCGTGAACAAAGCTTAAAGTGCATGACTTAACCTTATCCGTTGCAGTACTTTGACATTGATTCAGGAAAGAATGCTACTCCAATCAATCTATTTATAAGCCAGTCAATTACTTAGATAGAAGGGTGGTTAAATAACCAGACAATAATACCATTCATTATCCAAAAAGGTAGATATCATTCTGCATCTAGCTCATTTTACCTAATTCGGAACACTGGAAAATGTTTAAAATTGATGCTACTCTTCCACCCACTTGGCCCACCTATATAATTGTAAGTGTCTAAAATATCATCATACAATCATGTGCCTCCACTGGAATCAAAGCGTGCACATGTTAGTTGCAACCAAACATCCTGAGGGATGAACATAATAGTGAAAGACATATGCCTGCTTAATAATCATCAAAATAATAAGTCAAGAGGCGTCATCTACAACCATTATCCCATCTAAAATACTCAATATACATATATGCCTTCATGCCATTGGATAAAGCTAGACAGGAATGCAATAACTTTATGTTCATGCTTACTATTTCTGAAATGACAGCCAAATGCAAAGATCAAATACAGAAATATCTTAAGAAAATTAAATTCATATAGAGTGCACCAAATTCTTGATAACAGTAAGGGCCGAGAACTTTCACGTTGTGCAAAACCAAGCACCATATCCATCATAAAATTGCAGGCATCTTATGCCAACAATGTCAACAATGGACCTGAATACTCATCTTACATCAATTTTTTCACAGCAAAACAACTAAATAGTTGGCATAGAAATTAACGCTAAACTCCATATGCAGGTAGCAAACGTATCAAACTATCAATTTTAATTACAAGAAAAGATTAACCAAACCATAACTCAATAACAACGAGAACCAAAGATCAATGAAGAGCAAAGTTCTATCATCAATGTCCACATGTAAAACAAAATAAATAAATAAATAAATAAATAAATAACTTCTCGAACCATGAGTCCTCAAAAAAAGGAATTTTCTAGAAACTTCTACCGAGCCACAATATAACCATTGAACTTAGTTTCGCCCAATTTCCATTCTTCACCCAACGTAAAATTCAAAATCTGACTTTCAAGTTCCATTTTATAACAGATTCCGCAAATTAACAATTAAATTCCACACAAAACTAACAAACATCTAAAACCAATTAAACGAAAAGAAATGGTTAGGGCTTCGAGTCATGCGATATGTGATAAATGCACGTTATTGGATGTAAAAAAACAAAAACAATATATACCAAGAAGTGAAGTGATCGATTACGTACCAGTGAATGAGTGAGAGGGAGAGAGGAAGAGAAATTCGTTAGATAGACAAACTCTTGAGCGATCGCAAGAATTTAGAGTCTAGGAGCAGGAGATTGGCGAATGTTTGGCGGGAGGGAAAATCACCGAGGAAAAAACAAGGAAGTGATCTACCAAGAATATTGTTGCGGGAGAAAAGAAGAAGACAGTTTTCGAGGTAACAAAATTGTAAAACATATTAAGGTGGAAACCAGAACCCTTTTCAACAGTGAATTTATGAGAAAAAATGGTAAAAATATATAGGGAGCAATTATAGTTATAGAAAGTAAATAAATATGAAGAGGTGAAGTGGAGTATTTTTGGTGGCAAAGCGATGGTTGAGGGAGGCTAAACTCACGATATAATGCTTTCAAAATAAATAATTCACGAGATAACGTACTCCCCATATTATTTGCTGAAATAGGGTGAAATCCACAGTGTAGCCGTAGGTCGCCATGCCTTCCGGGCGACCTACTACGTCGCCATGGCTTCCCGACGAGCTGCACAGAGATAATGGACGTCTGCATGTGCCATGCACGTCCCCAACACCCCAACACAGGTCGCCATGCACTCCCTAACACCCCAACACAGGTCGCAATGCACTCCCAACGACCTACAAGGTCGCCATGCACTCCCAGTGACCTTGTAGGTCGCCAAGCAGTCCCGGCGACCAAGCTTGGTTGTTTTCATGTTGATCCTCGTCATATTGCTTGCATGCTTGGTTGTTTTCATCTACGTGGTCACCATGAAAGGCTCGGGCCACCTCGAACCGAGTCGGGCTTACTTGGAATATCATCTTGAAGATTTTTCGGGTTGGCTTCAACGGAGAGTTCAGAGTTCTTACAAATGGGGTGAATTCAGTGCCATGCACTCCCAGCGACCTGTGTTGGGGACGTGCATGGCACATGCAGACGTCCAGGGAAGCCCATGGCGACGTAGTAGGTCGCCCGGAAGGCATGGCGACCTACGGCCACTGTGGATTTCACCCTATTTCAATAAATAATATAGGGAGTGCATTATCTCGTGAATTATTTATTTTGAAAGCATTATATCGTGAGTTTAGCCGTTGAGGGACGTGAACTTGAGAAACAAAGCAAAAATCCACACTGAATATTAATTATTACAAACTTATTTCAAAAAACATTTATCTTATGTTTTTTTATAAAATTTACTTGGGGTAATTTACAAAATCCATCACTAAATCTTATTCTCTCTCTTATTTTGCTCTCTAAACTTTAATTATCCTCCCTGAACCTAACACATTGATTTTTTTGGGTCACTAAGCTTTACTCTCTATTCAATTCGACCCGATCAAAAAAAAAATTATATCCTACATTTGACTGGACCCGACCTGAAAAATATATTTCGACCCAATTTAATTTTTTAGAGTATAAATCTGACCCAACCCGGTATAAATTAAGGATTTAATTAAAAATAACAAAATTTTTAATGAAATTACATTATTATCCTCGGGTCGGGTCGGGTCGAAGTTTTTTCACCCTCCATCGTAATTCGACCTCACCCCTTAAAACATCCGACCTGAAACTGATTTTAAAAAAATATGACCCGATCGAATCGAATCGAAACCTGTCGGATGCTAGTGAAATTGTGATCCCTAGTTTTCATGGATTATTGTTTTTGGTATCGACAAGCAAACGAATAATGATATGCACTTTGGTATATTAACTAACTACTAAAAATTTATGTATTTATGGTGTAGATCATTGTAACATCCTCAATACCAGGTTAGTGACTAAATTGTAAAATTTCAGAATTTGGTGATTAAAGTGGAAAAGTTGAATAGTTCAATGACTTATTTAAAAATAATTTTTGAAGGGTTATTAGTAATTATTAAAAGAATGAGAGGGCAAAATGGTCATTTGGCTTTGAAAAAAAATGATGATATATATGTATGAGGGGATAAGATAAAAGAGATATTTTCTCCACTTCTCTTCTTCATCTTCTTTCTTCCTCCTCCTCCACGTGAGAGCTCAAGCAAAAGGTAAGATTTCTTCGTTGTTGATTATTAGCTGAAATTTAAGTTGGGTTTTGATCCTTAGATGATAATTAAGCTTGAGGAAAGCTTAATTTGTCTTAAAATCAAAAGATGAAGAAGTTATGAAAGATTAAAGAAAATGGGGTTTTAAGTGAAATTTTGAATAAGAAGGTTAAATGAACTTGGAGGATGAATTTGACTTGTCATCCATGAGAATAAGAAGTTAGAAGTGTTAGAATTAAGTTTGGATAACATGGAAATTTTGGTATAATTCTTAGCTTTAAGAATTTGGATAAAATATGGAAGATTATAAGGTGGTGGATTGATAGAAATTAGTTAAAGTTGTTATAGATGAGTTTAGTAGCATGATAAGGATTTTATACATGAAAATTTGGGTGAAGTATTAATGAATTTCGGGTGAAAATAGCATATTCTGGGCAGGTGCATCGATGCACTATGAGTGTGTAACGATGCACTAAGAAAAAATTTGAAGGTGCATCGATGCATTAAGGGGTGCATCGATGCATGGGAATTTCGAACATAATTTGGGTACCGATGCACTCATAGTGAATTGGTACACTCCTAAAGGAAATTATGAATATGAGTTTAGTAAATTCGTTTAAGTTAATAGCATCGAAGTATAAGGTTTAGGCTTCTGATAATCATCTTAAAAATTATATTTATGTAGATACATAGCCTAAACGAATTCTGGAACAATCGAAGGATTAGGATTTATTCAAAGCAAGCAAGGCTAATGTGAGTGCAATTTAATTGTACTTATGTTATTGAACATATATTGGTTTGCGATGAGCCAGTGATGGAGTTACTATGGTAAGAAGTGACTCCTAAAATGTTATATGATTGATGGAATTCTTATATGAACATAAGTAAACAAGACATGACATATGTGCTTACATAAGAATATGAGAAATAAAATAAGCTATGTGATAAGGATATAGAGAATGAAATGAATGACATGAAATGTATGTATGCTTGATTATATGAGGTGAATGATATAATAAGAAACTATGTGATAAGAAGATATTGGTTTATGTGATATAAAAGTGTATATGTGAAATGACATGATAGGTGATAAAACTGTGAGCCTATATGAATATATGATATAAATGTGATTTATGTGAATACATGTATGGGTGAATATGTTTAGTATGATTACATGATCATTAGATATAAATCATGTGATAAGTGATATGTGACATATGAATATGCAATACAATATACATGTGATATGATATGAAATATATGGTTACACATACATGTGGTATGTGACAGAAAAGAAAGAACAAGTGATATAAAATGTTATAAATGATAATGCCCATGGTATATGTTAGGATTTTCGGAAGCTCGAATCGACAACCGGAACGGTTTGCAAAGAGGGGTCGGAATGGTTTTGTGTTTAGGGAGTAAGGAGATTGAAAGATGGAGAATTGCACAACGATTTATAGTGGTTCGACTTTCTCAAACAAAGTCTATGTCAACTACCTTAGCTCCTTGCCAAGGATTTTCCAACAAATTCACTAATTTGTTCTTTCTTTTGAGGATAAAGAGTAACCTTACAAACTCCCTAGTTTTTCCGGGCTAAACTAGAACCTTTCCCTAGCTTTTACACGGGATTAGCTAGAACCTTTCCCCTTTACAAAAGGATAAGAAATATAAACAAGAAAACCTCTCTAAGTTAGGTGTTTACAAGAATTAAGCTCACAAGAACAAAATATTTACAAGAGAAAGGTGAAATAAGATTGAAAAACTCTTCTCTTGTGTTTGATTGCTTGGATAGTTGTTCTCTTGCTTCTTCAAGTGTCCTTAGCTTGTATTTATAGCTTGGAATGTGTTTGAAGTCGTATATAGTCATTGGGGATGTTTTGGAGCTGTTTGGAGATGAGAAATAATTAATTAAACAGCTTGGAGCATGGGGGGAATCGGTACCCCCCTCATGGGAAATCGGTTCCCTAAGTGCAATATGTTTTCGACCATTAGACATGGGGAATCGGTACCTCCTGGGAGGGAATCTGTACCCCCTGGACAATCTGATTTTTCTTGAAACCCTTTAAAAAGAAAATATTTTTGGCTCGATTAAGGCTCGAAATACTTTGTAAAATTGTTTTAAAATAGTTTAAGTATAAA